CAGCCCCGCCGCCCGGCCCCGGCCCCTCCCGGCCCCGCACGTCCTTCCTCATCCAGGACATCCTCCGGGACGGGCCGGAGCGCGCCCGGAGCGCGGGGAATGCGGGGCTGCGAGCGGCCGGGGACGCGGGGACAGCGGCCAGCCCGGCCCCGGGACACCCCCCCGGGGATCCCCGGAACCCCGGAGAGCCCCGGAACCCCGGAGAGCTCCGAAACCTTGGAGAGCCCCGAAATCCTGGAGAGCTCCGAAATACCGGAGAGCCCCGGAACCCCGGAGACCCCCGAAACCCCGGAGAGCACCGAGCCGCAGGGACAGCCCGGGAGATGGACACAGGTAACGGGAGGAGCCCCGTCTGGGGAGCGGAGAGGGAGTGGATAGGGTCGGGAATGGAAAGGGAATGGATCGGGAATGGATCGGAAATGACAGGGGTCAGGAATGGAAAGGGAATGGTTTGGGAATGGATCAAGGAATGGTTTGGGAATGGATCAAGGAATGGATTTGGAATGGATCAAGGAATGGATTTGGAATGGATCAAGGAATGGATTTGGAATGGATCAAGGAATGGATTGGGAATGGAAAGGGAATGGAAAGGAATGGATCGGGAATGGATGCGGTCAGGAATTGAAAGGGAATGGATCGGGAATGGATCAAGGAAGGTCTGTTCTTGCATCAAAAAATGGATCAGGAATGTCTGTGCTTGGATCAGGGAATGAATCAGGAATGGATCAGGAAATGAATCGGGAAACTGATGAGGAATTGGGAATGGATCAGGAATGGATCAGGGAATTGATCAGAAATGTCTATTCTTGCATCGGGAATTGATCAGGAAATGGATCAGGAATTGATCAGGAATGGATCAGGAATTGATCAGGAATTGATCAGGAACTGATCAGGAAATGGATCAGGAATGGATCAGGAACTGATCAGGAATGGATCGGGAATGTGTGACCCTGGGTCACGAATGGATCAGGAAAGGGAGCTGGAATGGATCAGGAGTGTCTGTGCTTGCATCAGGGAATGGCTCGGGAATTGATCAGAAATTGATCAGGATTTGATCAGGAATGGATCAGGAATGTCTGAGCCTGGGTCATGAATGGATCAGGAATGGATCGGGAATTGATTGGGAATTGATCAGGAACTGATCAGGAATGGATCAGGGATTGATCAGGAATTGATCAGGAATGGCTCGGGAATGTATCAGGAACTGATCAGGAATTGTTCAGGGGTTGATCAGGAGTGTCCGAGCCTGGTTCAGCCCCAGCTGCTGGATCCGGCCCTGCTTGGATCCAACCCCAGCAGCATCAGGGCTGGAGCGGGGGCAGAACCGGGAACTCATTAAAACCTTTCACCCAAAAAGTGCCCCAAAGAGCTCCAAGCTCAGAATCCGCCTGAAACCTTTAAACGATTTTTGGGTTGGCTGAGCTCAGCCCAGGATTTTGGGCAGGGAAAAGCTGAGCCCAGCCCCAGTCCCGACCCTGATCCCCATGTATTTTTTTTCCAAGCAGGAATTTTTTTTTCAAGTAGGATTTTTTTTTCTGAGTGGGAACTTATTCTGAGCAGGAACTTTTTGCCAGGAATTTTGTTTCCGTCTGGGAATTTTTTTCCAAGTGGGAACCATTTCCAAGCAGGATTTTTTTCCCCCAAATGGGAATTTTTTTCCGAGTGGGAACTTTTTCCATGCAGGATTGTTCCATGTATTTTGTTTCCAAGTGGGAATCTTTTTCTGAGTGGGAACTTTTTCCAAGCAGGATTTTTTTTTTCAAGTGGAAACCTTTTCTGAGCAGGAATTTTTTCTGAGTGGGATCTTTTACCAAGCAGGATTTTTTTTCTGAGTGGAAACTTATTCTGAGCAGGAACTTTTCGCCAGGAATTTTGTTTCCTTGTGGGAATTTTTTTCTTAGTGGGAACTTTCGCTATTCAGGATTTTCCCATGTATTTTGTTTCCAAGTGGGAATTCTTTTTCTGAGCAGGATTTTTTTTTTTTCCAAGTGAGAATTTTGTTTCTGAGTGGGAACTTTTTCCATGCAGGATTTTTCCATGTATTTTTTTCCTAATGAAAACCTTTTCCACGCAGCACTTTTTTCCCGAGTAGAAACCCTTTCCCAAAACCAATTTTTCCCAAACCCCCATTTCCCAACCAAATTAATTTTCAATTTTCCCCTTTCCAGACACCCTGGCGGAGAATTCCCTCCCCGATTCCTCCCGCCCCACGACCCCGCGCCCTCCCCGGCAAACCAAGCGCTCCCGAGCCGCCTTCTCCCACAGCCAAGTGATCGAACTGGAGCGCAAATTCAGCCACCAGAAATACCTGTCGGCCCCGGAACGCGCCCACCTGGCGCGGCACCTGCAGCTCACCGAGACCCAGGTSAAGATCTGGTTCCAGAACAGGAGGTACAAGACCAAGAGGAAAGAGCTGGGGAATGGTTTGAGCCGCTTGGACTCGCGGGGTGGTGGCCAAGGAGCGGCCGAATCGCCGGGGACGGCGCTGCTGGCGCTGCGAGGAGCCTGGCCATACCTGCCCTGCCTCTACTACGTCAACGGATGGAGCCCCTCCTGGTAGAAACTGCTCTTTTTAGGTGGAAAATATCATTTTTTGCTTAAATTTGGGGGCAGGGTTCAGTGTCATCGTTTTGTAGTGGCAGCGTAAAATTCTTTCATCGCTAACGCTGAAATTACCAAAGAAAAACCAAAAAATTTGATGGAATTTCATTCTTTTTATTGCGTTATTTTATTGCATATTAATCCCCGAGGATTCCCAGGGAATTTGTGGCTATTCCCAGAAAATCTGTGGGAATGGCTGTCACAAATCTGGAAATGCCCAAATTTATGTTGGATGGGGTTTGGAGCTGAGGGCACCGGGCCCTACCTGCCCTGACACTGCTACGTCAACGGCTGGAGCCCCTCCTGGTAGAAACTGCTCTTTTTAGGTCAAAAATACTGGTTTTTGCTTCAATTTCGGAGGTAGGGATTGGCAGTAGTGGCAGGGTAAAAATCGCTTCTTGTTAACACTGAAATAACCAAAGAAAAAACCCAACATTTAATGGAATTTCATTCTTATTGTTGCAATATTTTGGGAATTCATAGAAAATCTGGGACTGCCCCTAATCTGGAAGAGCCCAAATGGGGTTTGGAGTTGATGGTGTCCGGCCCTACCTGCCCTGACACTGCTACGTCAACAGCTGGAGCCCCTCCTGGTAGAAACTGCTCTTTTTAGGTGGAAAATATCGGGTTTTGCTTAAATTCGGGGATGGGGTTCAGTGGCATCATTTTGTAGTGGCAGCGTAAAATTCTCTCATCAGTAATGCTGAAATAACCAAAGAAAACCCAACATTTTTGTAGTATTGAATTCATTTTATTGCAATATTTTGGTCCTGGAAAATTGGTGGCTATTCCCAGAAAATCTGTGGGAATGGCTTGGACAGGGTTTGGAGCTGAGGGCACCCAGCCCCACCTGCCCTGCCTCTACTACGTCAACGGATGGAGCCCCTCCTGGTAGAAACTGCTCTTTTTAGGTCGAAAATATCGGTTTTTGCTTAAATTCGGGTGCAAGGTTCAATGGCATCATTTTGTAGTGGCAGCACAAAATTGTCTTGTTGCTAACACTGAAATAACCAAAGAAAAACCCAACATTTTAATGGTGTTGAATTCATTTTATTGCAATATTTTGGTCCTGGAAAATTGGTGGCTATTCCCAGAAAATCTGTGGGAATGGCTTGGACAAGGTTTGGAGCTGAGGGCACCCGGCCCTACCTGCCCTGCCTCTACTACGTCAACAGCTGGAGCCCCTCCTGGTAGTAAAACTGCTCTTTTTAGGTGGAAAATGTCATTTTTTGCTTAAATTTGGGAGGTAGGAGTGTGTAGTAGTGGCAGTGTAATATTTTCTTGACGCTAATGTTGAAATAACCAAAGAAAAACCCAACATTTAATGGAATGTCATTCTTTTTGTTGCAATACTTTGGGAATTCCCAGAAAATCTGGGGCTGCCCCAAATCTGGAAGAGCTGAAATCCAGATCGGATGGGATTTGGGGATGAGGGCACCCGGCCCTACCTGCCCTGACACTGCTACGTCAACGGATGGAGCCCCTCCTGGTAGAAACTGCTCTTTTTAGGTGGAAAATATTGATTTTTGCTTAAATTTGAGAGGGAGGGATTGGCGGTAGTGGCAGCTCTAAGTTCTCTCTCATTGACACTGAAATAACCAAAGAAAAACCAAAATTTGAATGGAATTTCATTCTTTTGTTGCAATACTTTGGGAATTCCCAGAAAATCTGGGGCTGCCCCGAATCTGGAAATGCCCAAATTCATGTTGGATGGGGTTTGAAGCTGAGGGCACCCGGCCATACCTGCCCTGACACTGCTACGTCAACGGCTGGAGCCCCTCCTGGTAGAAACTGCTCTTTTTAGGTGGAAAATACCGGTTTTTGCTTAAATTCGGGGTGTTTTAGTGCTGGGTTGTTCTGATATAGGGAGTGATTTGCAGTGGCATTGGATTTATAAATGGTTTTGTAGTGGCAGCGTAAAATACTCTCGTGGCTAATGCTGAAATTACCAAAGAAAAACCAAAAATGTAATGGAATTGCATTCGTTTTGTTGCAATACTTTGGGAATTCCTAGAAAATCTGGGGCTGCCCCAAATCTGGAAATGCCCAAATCCAGATTGGATGGGGTTTGGAGCTGAACTCTTGAGTGGCTGAGCCCCTCCTGGTAAAAATTGCTTTTTTAGGTGGAAAATACCATTTTTCCCTAAATTTGGAGTGTTTCAGTTCTTTCCAGAGCAGATTTGCAGCAGCAGCACGAACCTCTCTGGTCATTAACCCCAAAACCCCAAATTTAAACAACCCCAAATCCATTTTCTCCCAATTTTCGGTGAATTTGGGGCTGCCCCGTCCCTGGAAATGCCCAAATCCATTTTTTAATTTTTTTTTTCTCCTCCGGGTGCGGTGAGAGCCGGCCCAGCCCCGCTCGGACAATGGGGCAGTGACAGACGCGTTTTGCATATCCTGGTTTGCGACAATCCCCGCTTTTCAAAGCCCAGCCCAGTCCTAAGCCGGGCTTTGGGCTCGGTTCCATCCCAAAAGGTTTTTCCAACCCAAAATTCCACGAACCACCCCAAACTCCCGTGGTTTTGTCACCCCAGTGAGGCATTTTTAGGGGAATAAAAACCTTCTTGTGTTTAAAAAGCAGCAAAATTTGTTTTCTTTTTTCTTTTTATTTATTTATTTATTTATTTATTTTATCTAATTGTGCTTAAAACTTGGGGCGTCGCCAATTTCGCGGGAAAAGTGTGGGAATAAAAAAATTCCAAGGGAAGAAATCGAATTTTCTCAGCTGGAGAGACTCGGCCAGAGCAAATCGAATCTCCTGGAATTAAAAATCCTGAGTGGTTCCTTTCCTGGAGGGAATTCAAAGGAATTAAAGTGGAGATTAAAATTGAATAATAGGAATTAATTGTTGGGATTTTCCCTTTTTCCATGGGATTTTTTTTGGGATCTGCTCCTTTGCTTCGTGAATCCTATGAGTTCCTGGGCAGGGAGAGCAAAACCAAAAATTCCAGGGGAAAAAATCCAGGAAAGGGAGGACGGGGAGAGGAGAACTCTCACACTTTCCAGCAGTTTTTTTTTTTATTTCTCGTAAATTCAATCTCCTGGAATTCAAATCCAGGGGAGTTTCTTCCCGGGGGGGAATAAAATCAGAACTCAGAATTCAAATGAAAATTGAAAATAAAATTAATTAATGGGAAGGAACTGCCTGGATTTTCCTTTTTTTTATGGGATTTTTTGGGATTTTCTCCTTTCCCTCATAAATCCCATGAGCTCCCGGGCAGGGAAAGCAAAAGGAAAAATTCCATGGGCAAAATTCCAGGAAAGGGAGGAGAGGGAGAGGAGAAGGCCCAAATCAAAGGAGTTTTTCATTTCTCACAAATTGAACCTCCTGGAATAAAATCAGAACTCAGAATTCAAATTAAAATTCAATAATGGGAAAGAACCACCTGGATTTTCCTTTTTTTAATAGGATTTTTGGGATCTGCTCCTTTCCCTCATAAATCCCATGAGTTCCCGGGCACAGAAAGAACAAAACCAAAAATTCCAGGGGCAAAATTCCAGGAAAGGGAGGACAGGGCGAGCAGAACTCCCCGAGTTTTCGCAGAGTTTTTCATTTTCCTCCCTCGCTATCAGCGCTCCTCCCTCGCTCCCGAGGCCGAGCCGCGGGTTTTTTTTTATTTTTGGATTTTTTTAAAGTAACTTTTTCCTATCTCCAGCTGGAATTTCCCTCCCGTGTCCCCCGTTCCGGATTCTGGGGAAGGACATCTCCCCTGCGCTGTTTCCAAATGTTTCCAACTCAAAAAAAAAAACCGCTTTGGAATGACAAAAAAATTCCTTTATTGAGCTCAAAAGCTGGGAATGTTCCTCCCCCCCAAAGACAACTCCCGCCCCAATCCCACGGATTTCACAGCGGAGCTGCCGGAATTGGGGTAAAAATGTTAAATTTGGGGTAAAAACACAGAAAAACAGCTCAGAATCTCATGGATTGCACAGGGATGGGTGGGAATGTTGTTGGAATTGGGGTAAAAATGTAAAATTTGGGGTAAATTTGGAGAAAAAGAGCTCAGAGTGTCTGAAATTTGGTTGAAATTCCCATTTTTCCCCCCTTTTAGACCCCGGGAGATTTCACAATCGAAATATTTCGGTTGAAATTTGCTTGAAATTCCCTTATTTTTTCCCCAGGAATTTCACAATCAAAACATTTCAGTTGAAATTCCTATTTTTTCCCCCTTTTCAACCCCCGTAGATTTCACAATCAAAACGTTTCGGTTGAAATTCTCTTGAAATTCCCAATTTTTTCCCTTTTCAACCCCTGGGATTTCACAATTGAAACATTTTGGTTTAATTCCCATTTTCCCCCCCTTTTTTTCCCCGGGGGTTTCACAATTGAAATATTTGGGTTGAAATTTGCTTGAAATTCCCATTTTTTCCCCATTTTTTCCCCATTTTGTTCCCACCGAGGGCTTTTCCAACCATGAATTTCAGGATTTTCCTCATCCAGAATTATTTGAGCTGAAATTTCCCTAAAAAAAACCCCAAAAACCCCTGAACTGAGGTGCTAAAACCTCTCCAGCATTCCCAGATTTTTGGATATTCCCAAATTTTCCAGGATTGATTTTCCCGGGATATTTTGGATCTGCTGAGAGATCCCAAAAGAGGAGCAAAAATCCTCAATTTTCACCCAATTTT